CATCATCATTAGACGAATTTCTGTATAGAAACTCTACATTTTTACGGAAGATTCCTATTTCACAACGGTTGACGATAACGTTATAGTTTTTGCATCAAAAGCTTAGAAATTTTTTAGATTACATTCTTAGCATCAAAATAAATTGAAAATAGAAGAATTTTTGAAGATAGCGCACAAAAAGTGATGTTTGTGTCGTGTTTCTATATTTGTCGTTATCAAGTTTAAATTTGCTATGAATCAGTTTAATTTTTATTTAAATATGTGGCTAGCACTAATCTTAAAAAACTAGGAAAGTAATTTACTCGTTTCACTAACACAAATATCCGCTGTTTTTGAAAAAAGAGAAAAAATATTTGGCACTTTTTCTACTGTGTATTTGTTACTATTTTGACAAAAAAATGTTTAGTTGCGAGAATTTCTCCGTTTCAAGTTAATGCAAAAGTTTACACCCTTTTGCAAAATACATTACAAATGTTTTATTTTGTGAAACATTATATTTTTTCCGAAATATTTTTGTGTCTTCTTTAATCCTATGATATTATTTTGTCAATTCATCTCATATGGGTTTTGTTGTAGCAATTTCTAATAAACGTATGGTATAGAAATACTGCAACAAAGTCGAGTTTCTATACAAATTTTCAAAAAAGTAACAAATACCGACAAATTATCTACTTTATTGACAAATTCAATTGATTAAACATTCTTTATATGAAATTTAATATTGCTTCGATTAAAATTTCGAAAAAAACAATTATTTCACACATGCAAAGTTATATAGGACTGAGTGATATATCGTCTTTATTGTCACTGGTATAGATTCTCTACAAAATTGTCGTGTTTCTACACCAAAACTTTTTACATAAAATGTTTTCAGATTAATACTCGAATAAAAAGGTTTTGTGTAATCTAGCGAATGAACATTTTTTCTTTTCTTGATTTGAATATGTTCTTCGTAAATAAAATAAACAAACTTTATCGTTTCATTGTAATTATTGCAATGCGGCGTTGATTAAACTTAGGCATAGTCATCATCTGTATAGAAATCATATTCGCAAGTATTGTTTCTATACAAAAAATTTCTGTTTATTCGGTTTATCAACATATTAATCGTTTTGCAGGAAGAGTTTTACTCATTAAGTAAATTTTTTTTTCTATCACAAAATAAAAAGATATCTTTTATTGATTTATGAAATTTTTCGCCTATTTCACTATAAACTGATTCAACAACATAATAAATTAGTTTACGGTTCTCATCACTTGTATAGATTTTCTACCTTCTAGCACCCATCCACGCACGCACACACATTTTTGCTGAGTTTTATGATTAACTGGTTTTGTTTAGACACAATTAATTTCAAGTATAAAAAAAGTATAAAACTATTATAAACAAAAAATTTTCAATACATCATTGAAATCAAATAATTGTTTTATATGCAAAACAACAAAAATACATAAAAGGAGTAAAATGCATACGTTTCACATAAGTTTTCAATTAAATCTATGATTTAATTAAATGTTTGTAATTATAGCTAAAGTGTAAGCGTTAAAGTCAGGTCATATTTTCCTGCTACTGGTAACCTGTAATCCAGTACAACCTGCTTCATGTCCTGCTGCCATGTAGGATGCGCTTTTTTAGTCAAAATTTAGGAAAAATAAATTCTGACTTAAAACATTTTCTGCCTTGGGGCTGTTGGTTAAGTAAAAGCTAGAGATTCATAAAAAAATATTCATCTTGGACAGATGATTAACGCATCCGGCTACTGTCTTGTAGAAAGCCTCCTAGGCAAACACTTAAGGGGTAAACAGATTCTATCTATTGACCAGTCTCGCACCTCTTCTTCATCTATTAAGCTGGCGCGGTTATATTTGTAATACAGTGTTTCCAGTTTAGGATAATTAATACTGGATCTTCTTGACTCAATTCATGGTTTTTTTTAATTATTGCATTGCAGCTTTGATTAAACTTAGGCATTGTCATCATCTGTATAGAAATCATACTTGCAAGTAATGTTTCAATAAAATAAAAACTCTGTTTACTTGGTTCATCACCATCATTCATTGTTTTGCAAGAAGAGTTTTACTCTTTAAGAAAAATTTTTTTTCTATTACAGAATTAAAAAGTTATACTTTATTATCTTATGAATTCTTTCGCATATTTCACTATAAATTGATTCAACAGCATTATAAATTAGTTTCCGATTCTCATCACTTGTATAGAATCGCTACCTTCTAACACACACACGCACGCACACACCTTTTCCCTGAATATTCAACATCAACATCAAATCAACATGTTTTGTTTAGACACAATCAATTTCAAGTATAAAAAAAACATAAAACTATTAAAGACAAAAAGTATTCAATACAATATTGATTACAAATAATTATTTTATGTGCAAAATAACAAAAAAATATAAAAGGTGTAAAATGCATACTTTTTATACAAACTTTCAATTAAATATATGATTTAATTGAAAATTTGTAATTATATTTGAAGCTATAGCGGATCATTTATAAATTGTTTGGTCACGTTTTTTATTTCTATCATCCAATCTTCCACCAACAAAACCATATGATATCTGTAAAATCACACCTTTGGTCCAAAGTTTAAAGAACACATAGAAAACAACACTTTAGTGCTACATAGTGTCAAATTAGGCAATCTGCGTGGAGTTACGCTACCATTAATGTCGTTAGGATGTTGGCATCTCTATAAAGAAGGGTTCATGTGGTATATTTTTATGGCGCTCGAGTTTGTTTAAGGGCCAAAAAAAGAGCAAGCTAAAAAAAACCCGTAAACCATTTCATTGTGTACTTTCTCATCACCAAAGACAGACCGGCAACTGTTTTTGCCTCAGGATCTTCTATGGCTGATGACAGGAACTTGTCACGTATATGATATAAAATGATGATATTTTATGTTAAAACATGTTATCAGCAATTTCTTTGGAGATTCGTCAAGCATTATTCTAGAATGGTGAAAACGTGTCTTTATTTTGGCTAATGATTTGTGCCTGAAACTTTCAGGTTATCCTCAGTATGCTTCAGAAATTTAGTTTACAGTTAAGATTTTAAATATTCTCGTTAAATTTTTTAATTAAGAAACTAATTTACTGTCAAATGTCAATTCACTTTGTACTTTAAGCAAATTTTCAATAAATCTTGGTTAAATTTAAAGTACTGAAAAACTAAAAATCTATGTTAATCGGAATAAAAGTTTGAACAATAGAAAATATATATAATAAAACACATTATGTAGTTATGTCTGACAGGAAATTTTTTTATCACATTCAATTTTAAACGCTTTTTCCGCCATTATAGCTGTGAAAAAAAAAAAAAAAAAAAAAAAAAGTCATTGTAAGTAAAATCTTTATTTCGACTATTTCTTAAAGTAATTTCTCAACAAATATACAAGTTTTTGTTTTTATTCACAATTATTATTTTATATCTGTTATATTAATTTTTAAACAAGACGTAGAAGATTGTATATGTTATATAAAATTGTTTTTTGCATTTACAATTTTAAATTTACATTAGTTACATATTTACATATCGAAATATATTATCTATTTTCCATAAAAAAAAAAGGCGCTAAAAACCTATTTCTCGGTATTACTATATAAGATGGGTTTTGGGTCGAAACACACGAACTGTTGCTGCTAAGTTTGATCTTTTATTGCAAGACAAATTAACGAGTCTCTTAAAACAGCCAGAAATTAAACATCATTCGAGTTAAGCATTATTATTATTATTATCTGAAAACAATATTTTTTCTAGAAAAAAAAACAACCATGATATCATACATAAATGACTATATACAAAATAGCATTTCAAAATCAATAAGTATACATGACTTATTAAAAACTCACATATCGGGTTTTCAGATTTTGAATTTCTGCGCAAGCAAAATAACAATTTTACTGCCAGCGAATAAACTTAAGTTAAAACTGAAATATATGTATATTAGACATACCAATATAATTCAATATAAACGACAAAACTACTTCTATCTTACGTACACTATACACGTAAACAATTGACGGTAAACAATTTGCACCTTTATCTGTAGTTGAACATTCTATCTTAGTTTGAAATAAAAAGGTTAGTTTAAAAAGCATATTTCATGTACAACTTTATGAACAAAATTTATGAAGAAAGTAAAAGAAACTAGTCAACCTGATATGACACGTCTACAAAAAAATATATACAATTAAATAAATAAACAATTTTTTTTTGAAACTAACTGAAAATAATACAGGAATAAAATAAAACAGAGGTACAAAACAATATATAAAAGGTATAAAAACAACTTATAATGTATGTTTAAATATGTATAACTTTTGATACACAAAAGATGGTTTTGTACATAAAAAAATAACAAAGGTTGTTTAATAAAACATATATATATATATATATATATATATAAATATATATATATATATATATATATATATATATATATAAATATATATATATATATATATATATATCCAAGATAAAAACAGAAATGTTAAAAAAAATGCCTTTACTTATAGAACCTTTATAAAATTTCTTATCAGGGGCAAATCCAGAGGAGTTCAAGAAGTGTTCCATCAACCCTTAACTTAGTAGTGTAGTGAGGAATCAAACAGGCAGTCTTCTTGGGCGCAAAGGTTTTATTGGGTGTAGTGGGAAAAAAAAAGGGAATTTTTTATTACAAAAAGTATAATTGTGCAATTATACTTTTTGTAATAAAAAATACCCTTTTATTTTTGTTATAAAAGGCACTTTTTCATACCTGCTGAGTACCAATCAAAAAATATTCTAAAATACTACTTTGAACAAATTTGATGTTTTAAACAAAATTTTACTAACATTGTCAGATATGACAACAAGAATAACAAAAATATTAACAAAAGTTATATACCCAACAAACTTCAATATTTTTACTGTTTTTTTTTTTTCATTTTGTTTATATGATTCATACCAAACTTTTCTAATAATGTAATGTCAATCATGACAACAAGAATAACAAAAATGTTAGCTAAAATTAAATACCAACAAACTTTTTCATATTTTTTCTGTTTTTTTCATATCGTATTTTGTTAATTATACGATTTATACCATACTTTTCTAATAATGTCATCCCAAGAGGTGTTTCAGAAAGAACACTTTTAACAATTTTTTCTGAAACAACTCGATTATTAAACACTATACTTTTGAAAATTCTGTTGAGGTGTTTAACATCATCATAAGACATAGGTATAACTTTTCCTTGTTTACCTTCATCTAAATTTTTCTTTTTTAAGCTTAATAATTTATCATAAATAGCTTTTGGCCTTTTATGTTTTAATAGCTCGTTATTGTTAATTAATCTTCTAATGGTTGGAATATACAGTCCATTGAATTCAAAATTAAGAAAAAGTCGTTTTACTTCTGCAACTTCCAACTCAGTCCAACTTTTAAATGTTTTGTAGGAGGAGTCATTAGCAGTAACATCAATGTCAATTGTTTGATTTCCCTCCACTGGCTCAAAGCATTTACCAGGCAGTGGAACTTTATTTGAATGAAAGATTTCATTATCAATTTCATTAGTTAGTCCTTCAGCGCTCTTCATATTTTTAACAAGATTATAATGTTTAGATGCTGTTTCTAATTTATGCTTCATATGCTTTGCTAAATTTTCTTTTTTTTCAAGTGTTATGTCCTCTTTACTATGAAACATAGTTGTAACACTTTTTCTCGCTAAGGTAGCGGACACAGGACATTCCCGATTTGTTTTTAAAGCTTTTTTCCAAAACGAATCAAGTTGCTTAGAAAATCCTTGAAGCTTTTTGAAAGACCATGTTACAAAAAAGCTTTGAGATGTAATTGTAGCATCTTCCCCATTTCTTTTGGCAACTTCACTTCTATATATATTCATATACAAACGCATATGCTTATATATTTGAGAACTCAGAACTATTTGAGCTGGGCCATATTTTCGCTTAGTTTTGTGTGCTTTAACATTTATAACAACATCAGAGGTATTTGGATTAACTTTCCCATTTAAAAACTCTCCTAAAGTTAGATTAATGCAGTTTCCAGCGCGTGATGCATTTCTAAGACAACAAACGCTTGCAAGGTAATCTCTTACTAATACAAAAGATTCTCTTGTAACATCTTCTTCAGAAAAAACATTTTCTAAAAGTTTTCTTGCTTCTTGGGCAGTATCAGAATGGTAAACTTTAGTGATTTCTTCAGGAGTTATTATGTTTTCTAAATTCTCCTCTATAATCTCCCATTCACGTTCATCTACTTCATCATTGAAACTAGCACTCCAGTTTCTTAATTCTAAAATTATTGCTTGCAAAATACTCGAATTAACATCAAAGTTGAAATTTAATTTTCCGCACCAAGGAAGAGTTTTCTCCCTGACTATAAACTCAATAAACTTAATCAAAGATCCTATATACGATCGAATTGTCCCAGGTAAATGTCCTCTACCTGGAACTTTACCACGTCCTGGAGTCATTGCCCAAGGCAGCCATTTATCCCGCAACAAGGTCATATCAAATAATGAATTTAGTGAACTCATATCAGGATCTACACATGAAAAAATTGTCTTTACTTGTTTAAAACATTGTTGTGCAGATTTATCAGGTTTTTTTCCACCTTCAAATCGAGTAAGGTATTTTTTAAATTCAGATAAAACAAGCAGCGTGGAATTATCGTTGCATTCTACTTGATTATCAGATTCTTCTTCAGAACTATCAGCAAAAAAGTCACTATCACTCTCACCGCTTTCTTCACTTAACTCTTCGTTAAGATCAAATTTAGGGGAGCTATAATTGGAAAGTTCATCTAATTCTACTTCTGACTCAGGTGAAAAATCTGACTCAGATGATTGACTTTTTCTTGTAAGGATTTTTTCTGATAACTGAGATGAAAGCATTCGAGTTACTTTAGATTTGAGAACTTGATATCTCTCAGAATCATTAAATATTTGAGGATGGTTTTTCCTAAAATGATCAGATATATTTACTACAACACTAAAACAACTGTTAACCGAACATTGATAATAATATTTTTTGCGCCTGGGCACTTTAGTTATTTCTGCTTTAGGATATTCTTTGCGTAAATTAAAAATAGTGGTAGCTTTTGATGCAGTAGCACTATCAATATTATGTCCAGGTAATTTTGATCTCATATGGCGAGGTAAATTTACAACTGTCTTAAAACAGCCAGGAATAGGACATCTTTTAGGATAAGTAATGCTATTTTTGTGACGCCCAGGAAGAGAATTTTTTTCTACCAGCATATTGTTTTCTGAAGACTCTGTTTGTTCTTAAAAAAGAATTTATTATGCTTAATAACTATGTAGTTATTAGGCATGATATATTTTTTTAAAACAAAATTAGCGAACAGAATATATAAAATATATTGATTTATAAAAAAGAATATACAGCTTACCAAAAAAGGCAACATTACAAGAAAAGTTTTTAGGTGTTGAACTTCTTTCTTTCAAAGTTGATACCATTTCTGCACAAGAAAATAGTAATTTTACTACCAACAAATATTTATAAATAAATATTAAGACTTAATTATATATAAATATATAATAAAAGGTTGCAAACATAATCAGTTTTTGAAAAAATGTTCTATTGAATTTATATCTAAATAAAAAAATAATAAAAAAGTACTTTTGCAAAAACAACTGCAATTAAAATAAAATAAAATTGGATAATTATAAAAAAAGAAATTCACAATAAATTCATATTTAATTTTGAAGATTTTGCTTTTAAAGTATTTTTGGGTATTTTTGCACAAAAAATTAACTATTTAATACCAGCATAGATTCCAAGGTAAAAACATAAAAAAAGTCAATAATAAGCTAAATAAAAAAAAACATAAGAAAGCCAACAAACATAAAATAAACAACAATTCTTATACCATTGAGTTCAATAGCAGTTGTCTGTTCATGTGGACTGTCTACAGAAAAAGTTGGTGTTTCTGCACAAAAGAAAATAACGCATTAACAAAAAATGTTACACCTAAAAAAAACGAAATATATATTAAAGTCAATTAATTGGCAGTATAAAATATACCATGGCAAACAACATCAGAGGTTTGATTTTCAAGTTTCATATATTGAGTTTTTAGTGATCTTGGCTCGACTACAAAAAAACCAGAATATTTTTTAATGTAGAAAAAACAAACAATATCAACAAAACAAAAATAACTATACAAAAAAAAGTCATAAAAGTTTTTTAAAATACCATTAAAATCAATATCAGTACTAAAATCATCATTTGAAAAGTGCACTTTCGGATTTGAATCTAAGTTAAGAAGTTATTCAAATACTTTTACATAAGTACATACACACAGATATATATATATATATATATATATATATATATATATATATATATATATATATATATATATATATATATA